GATTCAATGGAGGATGAATGAAGAAAAGGCAAAACTAATTCTTTTCGTTGGCATGGAGCTTTTTCAAGCTACAAAAGCTGGTTGGAGGAAAGAATGGTCGCTGCTAAGCATCTCCTAAAAGGGATTTGGTGCAATATGAAGCACATTCTTTAATAGAGCTTGCTTTCTGCATTAGCCCATTCATACTCCATAGAAAGTTGCCGTCCACGAAAATTATTTCAGAGCATAGATATTAGAGTAAATGAAAGGGATAGGAAACTTCCGTTGCGTGGGTGGATTATTCCATTGAGATTATTAGGTTGCCTAGGCTAGCAACTTAAGCTAGTTACCCCTGGCCAGACTTGCTCTCTCCATCTCTGCAGCACTGATTCTCACCTATAGCACTTGCATAGTAGTGATTGCAGTGCCATATGATACTTCAAAGAAATCAGCTGTTATACCACTATCATGCTGTAGCCAAAATAGCAAGATTTAGGCTCTTCTATTGCATTTATTCAGCGATTAAAAGTTAAAAAAGTACTAGTTTGTTCTTTGGTCCCCATTATCTCAAAAGCAATATTATAAATGAAAGATTTAAAGCAAGCTCCTATTAAAGAATTCTTTTCTTTAGGTCTTCCAACTTTAATAATTCCAAAAGCTTGTTTTCTCGACATTTTATGCTCAAAAACAAGTAAACTTTCCGTATTTAGTTGGGTACCATTATCTCACTGCTTGAATGAGTAATGACTAAAGAGGCTTCAGATACAGAATCTAGATGAGTTATTCTGGGTCTTCCGCCCATTATCTTGTCTTTGCGAAGCATACTTTTGCTACTACAAGGGACGAATTAAGGCCTAGTCAGGCTAGTCGCCTATAGACCACCCTAGGCGAGAATCGAATGCGTAGGAAGATTATTAGAAATTTTTACGGTTGTAAGGCGTGGTTTAGGATGAAATTAATTTCGGCCGCCATTTTGGTTGGCAACTTTCAATGGAGAACAAACGGGCCGACATAAAAACAAACCTGTATTAAGAATTCTGGAGCAAATTTGACCAAATCCTTGACAGGAGAAGCTTATAGGCAGCTGTTCTTTCTTATAACAAGCGCTTTTTAGCTATTGATAGAGCTACAGCAGGTAAGTGAGGCATTTTCTTCGTGCCTCCATTGACTTCCATAATAAACTTGCCAACCAAAATGGCGGCCAATTATGATGTGTGGGCAGATACCGTATATAAAATTAATGAAATTCATAACTTTTCCAATTCACGCCTAGGGTGGTCTATAGTGGCTATGGGAAAATAAACAGGTAGAGTATACTAGTATCCGGATTCCTCCGCTTTCTAGGGTAAATAGCTTGATTTCCCGGAAACGGAAGTTTCCTATCCCTTTCATTTACTCTATTAATTTTCAGAGCATAGATATTAGAGTAAATGAAAGGGATAGGAAACCACCGTAAAATTTATGGGCATGTCATGCGTTGCCTAGCGACGTATGCAAGTTGTCGTTTTTCTTACCGGGAAACTAGGAAAATGGAGGACCATCACTGGACTTCTTGGCTTATAATTCGTGTCTGATACGGAGTACAGATCCAGTTCCAGGTCAGCTGCAAAGATCAAGATCATATCTATCCATTGATACCTGGTTCAGAAGGACTGCACTAATGGCCCGAATGAAATCCTATCTTGAACTCCTACTGTCAAGTTGTCCAAACTGCCGATTTTGTTTTGTACCTTTTTCTGAAAGTCAATTTTATGAACCATCTATTGGTGTTTAAAAGACATTAACCAATGTTATAACCGAGGTCTTGAGACATCTTCTAATAGGAAATATTGTATGGTTGTGATTTCTAAGCAAAAAGTAGACCCAAATTTTGCTTTTGTTTTGTACCCTTAACTCGCCAGTAACAAATACTCTAGCCTTAAACTTTTTTGTATCAGTCTGTACTTCAAATGCGGAGGTCTTCCACATGTTTTGGGGCTTTCCTTCTATTTCATAAATAAAATAAAAATAAATATTCAGTTTTACAATTTTTCACAATTAGAGATAATTTTGAATGATACAAGAGCATAAATATCATATGAAAGAAAATAGAATATTTAGCACAGCCATAAAGAAGGTACTACATAGCAAAGAAGCTATTCATTTTGTTTCTGGAGCTCAGAATGCAGCAGAGAAGTGCCCTTGTCATCACTGCAGGACCTTATTCTAATTTTTCATACACCATTTTACTCTAATAATCCGTTCAATTTAATACGGTATTAGCAACTAGCATTTCCTGCCGGGAACGGTGGTTTCCTATCCCTTTCATTTACTCTAATATCTATGTTCAGAGTCAGCCAGGCTCAGTCACGCCCCTTGCCGTATATCATTCTTTGACGTAATCATATTATATCTATGACGTAATTCATTCAGGTCTATATAAGCATGAGCATTCGTGGTGCTTATCAGTTAGAAATGATATTTTTACTGCTACTTTTAATGTTGCTCAGAAGAATAAAAGCTTTAGTCGAACAAGTGGCAGCTCCCCCTCGAGCTCCAGTGCAGGAGAGCACTAGAGGAGCAGCAACCTCACCCGCCGTTATTGTTGCTGGTGATATTCTCTGGTACAAGAGGGACCCGCCACCAGATGCTCACTGTCAGTTCTTAGTGCAATCTGAGCAAGAGACCAGCTACTGTTACAGAAAATGTGAAATGGTTAGTGCAAAGTGAACAGTTGTAATATTATGTCTGTATTTGAAGAATGCATCAAGTGAGCTGAAAAGAGAAAAAACAGCACCCATACCTGTTTATTATTAAACTTGTATTCATGCTAGTCTATTATCTTCATTTAGGTTGTATCTCAGCACAGCAAATTACCCAAAAACTGTGTTGTCTAGCTGATTGATCACTGGAAAGGCCACCAACTCTCACATTACTTCACTGCACAATATACTGTGACATGCACATGCAAGACACAATGTGACAATTAATCACTATAATACTCGATATGCACACACAAGTAAATTTCTAGTTCTTTAATTTGTATCAAATGTATTATGTATTGTGTCTATTTTTGTTTCCAATAATGCTGGTCATTTCTCCAAAGAGACTCCAGTTCAGTATCATAGTTAGGATATCTTGCTAGAAATGAGGAAATGATTCCTTCAAATGAACTATCAAACTCATTAAGAACAACAGAACCATCTAAAGAAAGGAATATAGACTAATTAGTAGTGAAGCAGATTGGACATTACAAGCCATCAAACTCTATACAATATTCACAGCATACCCTATGCAAATAAACCAACCCATTGGTCAGGCAGGTTAATTAATGATAGACCTTATTTTTACAAGGAAAGACTGAGGACATCCCTCATCCACCCATCTCCTGCTTACCAGTATCAATTGAAGTGTGTGGCTGTACAAATAACCTTCTAGGCATCTTCCTAGCCATTACAATATCTATTAACAACAAATGATCATCAGTAACAGTTGAATATTTATTATACAATAACTGTCCTGAGCTAACGTCTGCTGTAGACTTGTAGATCTAGAAAA